GTTGAATATTGAGAACATGCAAACTCCATGCAAACATACTGCAGTCTGGGATTAAAACCCACAACCTTCTTGCTGCAAGGCAGTAGTGCTACTCCACCACAGTGCAGCCTTAGAACATGACCTTATTTCAGAAATTTAATTCAAAAAGTGAAAATGACATCCATCATTCCATTTTCTTACACCCTTGTAGGGACAAGGATCAGGAGCTGCTGGTGCCTATCTCCACCTAACATTCCAGGCAAGAGGCGGCGTACATCCTGGACAGGTCGCTAGTCTATTGCAGGGAAACACAGAGACCAACCATACACACACACTCACACCTAGGGAGAATTTAGAAAGACCAATTAAACACTCCATGCAGAAAGTCCCTGCGCCGGGAATTGAACCCAGGACCTTCTTGCTGGAAGAAAGTCCTGGGTTCGAAAGTGCTGCCAACTGTGCCACTGTGCATATTTCTAATATATTTGTGTTAATTTCTATTATTATGGTTTTCTGCAACTGTTAAAATATATTCCTAAAAAAAATTTGAATAGCTTCCAATTAAGCATATTATTTTTGACAAAAAGAGCTTCCTGAATAGTAATGTCAGTCTCCTTTTTCATGAAATACTGCATCGGTGCAAGAGATGATGACCCTGTGGCTTTCTGAGCAGCTAAGGAAGCTCTGGTTGTTTTAACGGTGGCCTTCAGCTCATCTGGATTAGTGGATCTGGTCTTTCTCTAGAACTAAACACGACGGATTCACTGAGGGGTTCCTACAGGGCAAGTTTGGCAGTATTAGTAATTTTTTTACAGGGGGAAAAAAAAACAAAATGAGCATTTAAAGAAAGCTTGTTAGCAAAAGGCAGCATGCAGTGTGAGGAATATTGTTTTGATGCATAACCATGGCAACAAGGTACCAACTTGGAGCAGATAATCAGCGTCTCATGAGCTCAAATGATACCTGAACTATGAATCTCAATCCTATAGGGGTTAAAAAGGATACAGAGCACAGAGAAGGTCAAGCCTTCACCTCCACTGATCATATCCCCAACTCCAACTCAATTAAGTGGGAGCAGCAAAAGCAAATGAGGAATAGTTCTTCCTAACTAAGACATAATTGAAATACACGCAGTGACAGGAATTTTTGAATTAAATTTCTGAAAAACATAGAAATAAATAAATAGCTTGATAAAGAAATTTAAGTGCCAAATATTGCATCCAACAAATAAAAAACAAGAACTTTCCCAGGTTTTTTTTATGACACATAAATTCTTATTTGTAAATAATTTTCAACAGTATTAATTTAACATGATGTTTAATTTTTTCATTTTATTTCAAATATTATTATTAGTTTCCTTTTTGTTTCACTTTATTTATTTATGCTTCTGTATAACAGGAATAAATATAGTATTTTTGAATTCAATGAAATTCAAATGTTATATTTTCTATGTTGTTTTGATTTAAAATCAGAACTTTGGCAACAAAAAAGGACAATATAAAGAATATGAGTCCACTCAGTCGACAGTATCTGAGAAATTGAAAGACTTTTGGATGCTGCAGACATGTTTTCTATTGCTTTATCATAATGATTCACCTCCATTAGCAGGTTTTGTTAACCTCCTGCGTGTGACCTTTTTAATCCCCTCTGCTGTATCACTATTTCACTTCACTTGTCGCCTCTCCTGAATAATTAAACAGTTTAGAGATGTCCACTTTGGTCTCATGTTCCTGTTCACAACTCAAAGACTTATCGCAAGAATAAGAGAAACACGTTCTACTGTTTGTGCAGTTTAACCACCAATATCATTACATTCCGCAGGGCAAATTGGCCAACTTGTTCTCTGAGTTGGTGTGTGTGTGACACATTCAGTACCTGTGAATCCTGGTATTGACTTCCGCCACACGTCATCAGGGATGTTTTCTGGCAGAGGAGCTATGTCACACTCTGGATGCCATGTCCTCTGAGACAAAAGTTCGGCTGTAAGCATTCCATAAGGTTTGCCCATGCTGAACCTGAGTCCAGGGCAGTGCCCTGTGTACCTAATTAATAACACAAACAAACAAACAACTTATGGCATCTTTCTGTCAGGGAATTTATTCTTAGATCCCTTCAAGTGTTTTGAACTAGGTTCTGACAGGTCAGTTGGGGCAATTGTCAAAGCACAACTTTGGACAAACAGGTTATTCAACAAGCAGATGAGGTTCAGATTCCTTTTTGTGTCAGAATTTTGCAGAAGGCCAGCTGTTTTTATCGCCCCAACAATAGGAGAATCCCTCCTAAAATGCACAGAAGAGCATTTAGATTGTTCTGAAGAGTATTTAAATCAAGGCAGAAGACGTGATTTTCATCACTAAAATGTATCAACTGTGAACTCATGCCTTCAGACAAACAAAGTCTTGCACGTACTTTACACCCCCCAAGGAAATTTGGATGGGTAAATCTTTGAACTACCCTGAAATAATCTAAAGCAGAACTCAGTCTGTGGAGACACCTGAAACATTTGTACTTTGACATCTCATCAATGAAGGGAATGAGCAAAAGGTTGTAGGATCAATCCCAACACCAATGAAATAAAGGTCAAAGTACAATAAATACATTTGTTGTAGCCTATTTATTAAATACCGTCCAGTGATTGTTTTTATTTATTTTTTTGCAAATTATTGAGATAAAAAAAATAAATAAATAAAAAAATAAAAAGTTGCAAACTTTCCATTTCAAATTAACTGCCTTCAGTCCTATCGCTGCGCGTTGTTCTGATGGTGGTAACCAAATAATATCCTTGGAGTCTAGTTTTATTTGTAAGGGGACATTTACTCACCCAGGGATGTAGCAGGGACCAGGTGTCAGCAAAGACTTGACTTCACGGACATATTCAGACATGTTGGAGCAGCAGGTGTTTGGATCCCAGCCTTTCTGCGCTGTTTACTAGTTGCTACAGAGGAATTTAAACCCAAACACACGGATGGACCCGTGGCTCACGGAACCAACTGACGTGAGCTACGAGAACGGAACAAAACAAATTCAAATGAAGCAAACGCGGCCTATTTAGTGTTTCGGGAATGTGACAAACCCGAAGTAATGTTTTAATACACATTTTATCCACTAAAATTAAGGTTGTTAGTTTCTTATTCTTTGGGATGTATTCGGATGTATTAGCAAATCGTTCTAAAACAAAGCTTCAATTTTCTAATAATCTAATAATCTAATATTTTTATGCAAACTTTAAACGGACAGCACCAACAGGAAACCAGTTTGGAAAGAAATGTCTGAAAATTGCTCAACTACGACCCCTGGTGGACTTCGGCTTCAAACAGCAAATAAAGAAAATACATCTGCCTCAAGAATTGAGAATCATATTAGTATTTTTACAAACATTACATTCCGCAGGGCAAATTGGCCAACTTGTTCTCTGAGTTGGTGTGTGTGTGACATATTCAGTACCTGTGAATCCTGGTATTGACTTCCACCACACGTCATCTCTGTTTTCTAGCAGAGGAGCTATGTCAGTGATGTAGTTAAAAATAAAAAAGTTCAAATGACAACTTCTTGTTTTTGAGCAAATTCCCAATTCTTAGTGAACATGTTTGAATTGATGACTTATGCTCTGAATAGTGTTTTAGACCAAATAAAAATGTACAAAATTGGTACATTTAGTACACCAGTAAGTATTCACATGACAAATGAACAAACAACGAGGTTTCATCCAAAGTTTTATCAAACCTTATAGTCCTTCTGGAAAGTAAACTTCTACTTGAATCTCACATTTTTTGCAGTCTGAAATATATATCTACATATATATATATTTCCAAGGATTGCCGAGCTTTTCTGTCTCTGCTTGATAAAAGTAAACACACAGAATTATGCTGCTGCCATCAGAGAAATGGAATGTTCAGGAAAATGTGCAGTGCACATTTTAAAAAAATAATCCCCTTGTGATTCTCTTACCTGGACTGTAAGAGAATCACAGCCCCTCCCCAAACCCAAAGTTACCATAGCTGTCGTAACTGCATCTCAGATTGTAATTTGTCTTGTCCAGCATGTTAGTTTTGGAAGAAAGCCTTTGTACGTTAACAGTTGTTTTCTACTACTGCCTATTGTTTTATGACCAATCACTTCTTTAATCTTCTCCATAACCTTGTCCCTGTTTGCTTTGTTCTTTAAGTTCTTTCAGTAATATTCTCAAACAAACCTCCAATACCTTCATAAAACTGTGATATGTTTAGTGAACTTAAATAAAATATTAAAGAAGTATGGCAATTGGTTACACCACTTCATGGTAATCAGTTTAAAAGGGACCCGGCAAAACATAAGCTGCTCTTTCCAGAATATTGTGTGTTTACAAAAAACTTACTTACTTCACAGTTATGTAGTACTTTGTGTTTGTCTTTCACATAAGACCCACCCATTAAAGTTTGTAGTTTGTTAAATGATGATATGTGCTAAATTTCAAGTGGTCTCAATACTTTTACGAATGAAAATAGCTGGCAAATATGTCCCTCACAAACAGAAACTCGTTTCCTCCATTTAACAATAAAAAACGTTCTTTTTGTTTGTTTTAACAGAATATGAATGAGTCTCTGCGTTGGACCGGATGACGTAACAAGAGTTTAACCTGAGGAATGTCAGTCATGTCAGTGGACAAGAGGGTCAGTTCAGCACATTCCTACAGTTTCTGATAAATCCTGCTTTGTTTACTTTGTAGATTTGACAAAATAGTTTGAACGTTTTCTTTCCCTTGCATGCGACAACGATGTGCTGCCCAGAGAAAAGTATTCAGGATTCTGTAATGCTGTCTAGCTTTTGAGGTACAGATAAGTGACAGATCTCCACAATCTGGTTTCTGTTTGATGTTAGCATTCCTTCTTACAGGCTTCCATGAATACAAAAACTTCCCAGAACCCTGTAAACGGGCTGAGGCTTGTTCATGTTGCATTCTTACAGTTGAAGGGATAAATTAGTCTTCAATTATAGATACAGCTGAATTTCCTTCCTTATTTCTAGTGACGGGTCGTAGCAGGTATCTACATGTAGTGATGTTAAGAGGCGTGGTGAAACAACAGAGGTAGGTCATAGGGAATTTTTTTAACCCTACATTACCGCCTTACCTCTTCAGATTTCCTCACTGTGAGCCTTGCTCACTTTCCATTTGCTTTAAGGAACGACTTGAGGGACAAAGCTGGAACCTTTTCAGAGATGAATTTATACACGAGCTTTAGTAACCTTATGGAGGCTTACGTATATGAGGAGAGAACTCGTCCGGAGTCCCAGTGGAGACGGGATAATACTGATGGGCCTCATGCACCTGTCTCCAACATCGTGGTAAACCCTCGCTCAGAATCTGTTGACTCTGGAGTGGAGTCAGCCACCTGTGAAACACCAAATCCTGCCACAGCTGGTTCTGTGTCAACAGACAACACTGAAATGGATTCATTCCTCCGACAAAGTGACAATTTCGCTCCTGCTTCAACGCCTCAGCCACCTGTTTTCTTGTCTACTTTGTCTTCCTCGTCGTCTTCCTCTCCAAACCTCCGTCTCAGCAGAGCAGAAGAGGCCCCCACAACCTTGAATCTGAAAGGAGAACCAGAACTACAAAGGACTGACTCCAAGAGGTGGAAGCAAGTCTATGAGGTGCTTAGCCAACAGCCTAAAGCGTCTTCCCTACCCAGACAACACACATCTGAGTTAAAAAGGTGTATAAGGTCAGCGAGTTTTAATTTGAGGAGGAGGTTCGACCCACTTGTCCCCAACGGGCAAATGTCAGAAATGGAGAGAAAACCATTTTTAGTAGGCTCTGACAAGCAGATCTCACAGGTACGATTCTTTCAAACTCATGATTCAAACTGTTGTAATCCCTTGGAGTTTAGTTTTAATGCTGGGCAGACTGTGTCACAGTTAAACACAACCTCTTAAATTTGTTTGTGGTGTAGTTTTGGGATTACACACTCATCAGTGTGAATCAGCCTCATGTACCGTCTTGCATTGCTCAAGTTTGACAATGTTACGGGAAAGTCTTCAGTTGAAACGATTGCAACACCTATTCACAAAGTCGCTCCCAAACTTAAGGCAAGCATGTTATTACCAATGCAGGACCTCTTTTATGTTCACGACCTGTCATAGTCCGTGACGGTGGAATGGATGCGAAACCAGTCTAACTAGGTGGGAGCAGACGTGCGCGTAATGAAAACAAGGCGAAGGAAGCTGAAGAGTTTGTCGGGCATGTCTGAACCAGCAGCCAGAGAAAATCAACTGTGATTTGGAATTTGATTCAGAGCTGAGTTAAAATTGGTAACATCAGGAAGTTGTGCTGAAACTATGGGAATAAGTTTTTTTATTTATTTATATGTTAATATTTCAGTCGTAGGGTGTGCGCTTGCAGAGGTTTCCCTTCTGTTGTTGCTGCCTGGCTAAAATAATTGCTCAGCATGAAAAGCAGGAAGATTGCAGAGTGTAGTTCTGTCTTTTATGCTCTTCTGTTGAAGTTATGTTAGCCGATGGCGGTAAACCCAGAAACTTTGTAACTGTATAACTCGATCTCATTCACACTAAAACAAACATGTTTGAAGTTTTTTAAGGAACGCAATCAGATAGTGTGAACCGATAACCGACCTAACTGTGAAAACCTGTTGCTGACACCCTAACTCATGATTCAACTCTGGGAACCAACATGAATGTCTACATTGACCGGTTATGTGAAATGGTCCTTTGCACATTATACAAGCAAATAAAACCTGTCCTGACAGTGAAAACAGAAGTAAATACAAACAAACTACAAACTGGGAAGTTTATTTCGGTCTATTAGATGTTGTCTAATTCATTTTAATTTAATTTAGGAGATAGTGCCAACTCACTTTCTAGACAAATCGATCCAGTTAATATCCAATTAATTAGTCGTCAGCAACAGTGACTTGTTTTGAAGAATCTTACAGAAGGGAAATTATAGACCTTATTCCAGATTCCTCCCTGATATCTGTTTTTGTACTGGTGTATGAATGTATGGTTATTTGTGTGAATGGTTCTGTGAATGAGACTTGTAACTATAATAGCAATATGACTGTTCAGTAGAACCAAAGTGGTTTATAAATATAAAGCCACTTGAAATCCTGCAGATTAATTTTGTGTCAGTAGTTTCAGGCTCCAATTAGATGCTGTTCCTTTCACAATGATTTCTATTACAGTACTGTCAGATTCACTTAATCATTTAATGCCAATTGGTAAGACGTTAGCTATCGAACAAAACCCAGGCATTGCTGCAAGTATTTGATCAAAACTTGGTTCAATCTCTTCTCTTGAGGTGAAATCTGTGGGCATTAAAGACAGTAAGCAAACAAAAATAATAACACAGAACGACTTGGTCAAGGAACCATTAAAGAGAAAAAAAAAGTAAATAATACAATTGTTCTCTAAATAGCACAGTTTGACTCTAAGTGTCTATGCCAGCATTGCTTTCAATTGGAAAGAAAAATACAGAGCAAAATTTTCCGTCTTAGCTTCTGTCTTTCTACATAGAAAGACGGAAGCAACAACAGAATTAAATTATGTTCCTCCAAATTCTTGTTCATTGGTATGTTGTTTTGTCAGTTTTGCTCACTGCTTGTTCTTTACCTTTTCTACTGAAAGCGTTCTTAGACTTAAGTATTTGAATTAGTGCTAAGTGTAATGGCCAAACGGTTTTAGCATAGATAACAGAGCCATCAGATTTTGATGTTTATTCTATAACTGGTTAGAAAACATAAAAATGATTTACAACATAAATCATCTAATTTTCTAAAGGTATTTTTCACCCATTTTGAAACTGGCATCAATATGAATACTGACGGTAGATGTATACAGTCAGCTTTCACGAGATTTATAGTTATCTTTCTATGTTTTTTCCCCCATGGATTTATTTATGCAGAGCTCTGTTGTTGAGGGAAAGGAACTCAGTCCTGGTCTGTGCTACTTGGAATGGGTCTGCCAAAAGATGGAGCTGTATGCCAAACATCAAATGCAAAACCAAGCGATGCAGCCACAGACAGATACTCCCCAGAAACACAAAGAGCAAAAGGTGAGACTTCCAAGGAATTCATATGATAGTCTTTATTTCATAATATGCATTGATTCAGTTCTATATTTAACATAGCAAACTACAACCTTACTTTCTTAAAGCTGTTCTTGTTTTTCAGCATGATGCAGCAGATGCTCAGGCGGACCACCCCAGGCTTGAAAATGCGCAGGAAATTCCCAGTGAACCTCAGCAGCAAAAACCTCACCATTTCCGACAGAGATCAGCCTCGGACTCAACTTTTTCCAAGATGCATTTAAGTAAGGCATCTTTTGCTTCAGTGGTAATATCGTAGTTGTTCTTGTCTGGAAATGAACTGCTGGTTAAGTCAGGGTTTGTGCTTGGTGCAGAAAAGTTTAACTTAAGCTCCAGAGTGAAGCGACAGAGTACGAGTGATCTACGAGAGATAGAGGAGGAAGACGTTTTGCCGATGGTGAGATGTTTGCATAAGCAGCTACTGAAGACAGTGCAGGTGGACTCTACTTCTTGCACTGTATTTCAATTTTCTGCTGTGCTGTAACTCAAGCTTTTGGTACCTTTACAGGAATCCGTAAAAGAAGAATCAAGCAAGAAAAATATAATCCAGAGGCTAAAACTTGGGTCTTTGAGAAGAGTGGCGTCTGCTGTATCAGACAGTAGGAGGTGAGACATTAAACTTTTAAATCGAGATTATTCATGAAATACTGTGAAGAAATACATCCATTGTGATGCAGATGTTGAAACAGAAGTTCTGCTGAGAGCTTTAGCTTATTTATATTTTCATCTCAAGTTTTTATTTTTTTCTTTGGCTTGGTATTTCCAGTGCATGCTGTCAAACTAATGAATGTTTTATCTGTGAAGCACACAGTCGCAGTCTTCAGAGAAAATCACAACCCGCCGACGGCTGAGCCAACTGTTCAGGAGGACAAGGAAAGTGTCGCCTGATTGAATTAACAGTGTCAGTTTCCATTAGCTGATATTTTGTTTTTCTTGCAGAGAAAACAGCCTCAGCATCGAGGTGCTCTGTAAATGACTTCCTAATCTTTCATTATTCAGCAAAATAATGTGTTTTGTATATTAGGCATTTTTGTTTGCTCATAGATCACGTTGAATGCATTACCTTTTAAATTGTTATTTTCAAAATATAAAAACTGTAAATAACTGTTGTGCAGTTATTTTTGTACATTTACAGCTGTGGGATTTATAGAATAATGTTCATTAACACTACTGTTTATTCTGTGAAATAAAAATATCTTTTCCCACAACATAAAGTGTTAAGATTGCTTAACCACATATATATTAGTATTAAATAGGAGGGAAAATAACTTTGATTAGTTGTTTTTTGCAGTGAGATAAAAAAAAATTCAGAAATCAAGATGGGGTTGTGAGAGCACCACAAAATGGTAGTTAGTAGGAAATGTCAGAATATGTACTTTCATTATTTATTTACAGCCTTTGTACTGAGAAGAAACCAAAGAGAATATGCTTAAAAATGACATCCAGGAAGGTTTCCTTATGTATATCCTTGTCGTTAAACATGTATTATACAGTTTCCTTAACGTTCAATATTAGAAACAGGTATTATCTTGTGAAACATGAGATATTAAAAACATGGCAGCATTACCTAGTAGCAAAAATGCCCTGGGTTCAATCTTAGTCTGGGGTTTTGCTATACAGAGTCTGCATGTTTCCCTGTTCAAGCATGGATTCTATCTGGGTACTCCTGGTTCCTCCCAGAGTCCAAAAACAGGTTATGTTTGTTAGGTTAAACGGTTCCTCTAATCTGTCAGTAGGTATGAGGGTGTGCATGCATTGTTGTTTGTTTTGTCTGTCTCTGTGTTGTCCTGTGAATGACTGATGACTTGTTCAGGGTGTTCACCATCTCGCTGGGTATGGCACAGAGAACCGCCTATCTTTAGTTGCCTGTAAATATTAGCAGGAACTGACAATGAATGAATGTACATTGCCATCTTATTATATAATAAAATGCCTCCGAGGTCAAAGAAGGTTAAAGGATTGGCACAAAACCTCCTGTGGGAGACAACTATTTTTTGTGCGCAAAGAAATTAAGTACAAAACAATGAAAGCTGTGGTAGGAGAAAAATGACAAGCACCCAAATAATTCATGGACTTGAATTAGTTAAATTCAGTGTCATAAAATCACCCAAACCCATTTGTTGTCCAAATAAGTCATACTTCCCATTGGACTTTGATTAAAAATAATTCAGGAAAATGTAGATTGAGCTCATATAACACCAATTCTGGAATTAAATGCAATTATTCAGACACCTGACAAGGAAGCCTCAAAAGTCCCTTTTGGAGGAGTTGGAAAATGTTGCAGGTGGTGCAGCACGGTAGGGTTTCCATCCAAGAGCTCACGTTTCAGTAAAAGTAACTATAAAACAAAGATCTCAGGTTACACAGACTATAGTAACATATTTAAGTGGCTCTTTATGAACTTACATTTCCTTTAAATGCCCACAAGTGCATTATTAGAAGTATTTGATAGTTTTGTTCTACAGCTTTCTGCAATTAATATATTTCAGAGCACTGAAAAAAAAGGCCACTCGCAGATATTTTTGTCATTTATTTAATTTTTATTCTCCTAGGTTGGGGGGACATACCTCCCCTGGCATTCCCATGTAAAGAGATGTCATGACAAACACATCCAACCAAATGAGAGACAGTGAATATTTTTCCAGTCCATACATAAAATACATTTATTTACTTCGTACTGGATCACCAGCATCCATAAGTCCCACACAGTATTCATCTGTATTAGTAAATATAGAGCGATAACATCTATGAAGGGATTTATTTACTGTACATGTGAGAGAGAGGGGCTTGGCAGAAAGGGTTTAGCTTATAGATGAAAAGAGTGGTGTTGGTGGGGAGCAGCATCAAGTCTTATCTGCAGTGTCCTCACCTCCTCCCTCTTGTCTACATGATGCCACAGGAGGACAACGGGTTGGCAATCTGGCAGGTGCAGGCTGACTGGCAGTATTGACGCACAGTCTGGTAGCAGCTGCGGTCGGCCTCCCCGCCCCACTGCACGGGCCCATTGGGGTCGGAGGGCAAGCGGCTCAGAATGCTGGTGTTGATGGCCAGAGCAGCGAGGCCATAGTCAGTGAACAGCACCGTTTCGCGTCGACATGTGGGGCAGGAGATGAACTTGTACTTGGGACATGATTCGTAGAGGATTTGCAGGCACTCCTCACACACCGAATGCAGGCAGGAGAGGATCCGCGGACGCTTCCCCGCAAAGTTGTATGTGTGACCACAGGTGGGGCATTCCAGGGGCTCACACGGCATGACGGGGCCTGAAGATGAGGACGAGGAAGTGGAGGAAGAAGTGGAGGAGGAACGGAGCACGTACTGGTTGACTATGACGTCTTCCATCTTGTAGTGGAACTGGTGGTAGCAGATTTCATTGGCACTGGTTTTGCGCTGCGCCAGGAAGCTATGTTCCCTGCGCATCAGTGGGGCCGGAGGGGACACCATTGGCCTGGGAGATGGTGCTATGTCCAGTGTCAGGTCACTGCAGGCCTGGTTGACAATAATTTCACCCTCACCACCACCATCCCACGCCACTCTCGGAGCAGGGGCATACCGAGGTTGGGTGACTGGAACAGGGCACTCTCTGGGAAACTTCTCTGATTGGATGATCTTGACCGTGTCCATGGGGATGGCCAGCGGCTGACGCCTGAGGCAGGACATTCGCAAGGCTTTGGAGTTCTGAGATAGATGGGCTGTAGCTCTAATCAGCGCTGGACACTCCTTGCTCTTGTACAAGGGGAAGAAGATTAATATCCTCCTTTGAAGTCAGCCAGTAGACGGGACATGGGGACGGATGGATGCCTCCATGTTCCCTTCAAAGATTTCCCCTTCAAGGTGCTTCTGTCAGTCTGAGTGTCAATGAATGAAAGAACTCAGCCAACACTACATGTACCTCAAATTCTGCAACAGCAAACCTATTACAATATAAATTATTGTGTATTATTTAACAGTCTAGTTCACAGAACTTGATAAATATTGACTATATGCAGTCAGATTTTTGTGATTTAACAGTACATAGGTTGGTGTTCCTGTGTTCTCTCTGATATCTACAAAGTACACAGGAGTTGTAAATACTTCAGCACTAAGATATGTTTTCAGTTACTGCACCAAGATGGTCAATACACATACATACACAACACAGGTTAAGAATTTTTAAATTCACTCAGTATGTTGACTACAAGCAGTTCATAAAGGTCCAAAAGTATTTCCTGGCATTTTATCCTGTGACTTGCAAAAGGAAACCCATTTTTCCTCACTTAAACAACTTTTGAACTTTGTGTTTTTGGCTATGTCAGATGTTGACTTGAGTGCTTAAGAAATATAAAAAACAAAAAACAAAAAGAAAGAATGCCTGTCTGTCTGTCTCTCTGCTGTTGGTCCAGTTGGATCAGAATGCCTTGTTTTACCCCTTTTCTTAGTTTCTTGAGAGCAGTAGGGAGGAGGTCTTTTTTGGAAGTGTTGTATAATGCTCCAGAGATGTGTTGGAATGGCTCTTTGAATTTTTCAGAGGTGGGATTGACAAACGTCTTTGTATTTGAACTCTCAGACAGTCATCATAACAATGGAGAAGGGAAAATAGCAGTTTTACAGATTCCTCTATGGTGTGTTGTTTCCTTTTTCAGTGTGACAGATTCCTTTGGTCCCTTTATCTGTAAAAAGTGAAAAGTGAAAAAGTGTTAGTTCTAGTTTTTTTTAAAAAACAACATATTGACAAAGTGTTTTAAACCTTTTTGAAAGATATTATGTTGCAATTCCAAAAATTACTGTATTTTGCATGACCAATAAATTAGTTCGTAATTGTAAAGAGGAGGGAAAAATAATAAATGTAATTTATTACATGAATAAAATCAAAAAAGTCCGGCTCTCTTTCCTTTGATTCCTCTACATAAAATTTAGTTCAATCAATAACTTTCAGAAACCACATAAAATGTTCCAAGTTTTAACTCCACAAAGCACCAAAATTATAGAAAAGTGTTTGATTTTACAAATTTTTCCTTCTTTCTTTGAAATTTAAATTTTTGGAAGATGAAACCGTCATGATCAATAAAAATTGTGACAATTTTGAAATGGTTTGTAGTAACTTAATATGGTTTGTTTTTGATTTTACAACTCACACCTGCTTTTTGACATATCCACATTGTACCATATTTAGTAGTTAAAATAGGGTAAATAGCGTCCCTAACTAAAAAAAAACTGCAATTCAATTTCGTCTTCTCCTGTTCAGCCACAAAAACACATGAGTGCTTTCAATTATTTTTTGTCAAAAAATAAAAAAAGTAAAATAAGATAAAAATAAAGGCTCTAAAGATCAAAATATTTAATTTTTAATAATTTGTATTAAGCTTGGGATTCTCTATTCTTTACTTGATAACTCCATGGTTTATAGATTTCGAAGTATCGTTGGCCTAAGTTATTCCAGAAGCCACAAAACAACAGTGAGACAACACTATTCCACACTCCACAAAAGATACTCCAGACCTGACAACTTTTCAGGCACATTCAAGATGAATAATTTGCAATTAAGACTCAAAACTGGAAAGTTTTGTTTGAAAAAATACAGACTCTTTCAATAAGAACTAAATCAGACCCCTGCCTATATCTGGAGGAGTGGACATCACTGGACATCTTTTTTAAATCTTCCTTCCACTTGAAAATTATGGGTTACTTTGTTGTTGGTTTTGCTCATGAAAACATGAAAATGTGACTGCTATACAAGCAACTGTAAATACATTGAATTTCCTGATTGACTGAACTTCTTTGTTTTATTGCCTCATACTGTAGGTATCCAGCAACATTTAATTAATTAGGGGAAAAGCTTTTGTCCCATTTCCTGTTCCATCTTGGCCTCTGCTCAGGTTTGCCTCTTTAAATATGAGAGATAATAACCATGGAGCTACACTCTGGGAGGCAGTCCTAGGGAGCATGCCGATCTATTGACACGGCACGTGACATTAATTTGCTGCCAAGTCTGAAGATTATAATCACAAACTGGCCAGGGTTGATCTGAAGTAGTGTTAAAGGGTAATTGCTTTGTGTATTTCCTTCTTCTGTCAACAAAACGGAAACAAGTAGAATGAAAACAAAAGACATTTTCCTATGACGAAATGTCCAGTGACTATTGTAAGCATGTGTATCAAGGCACAGCAAGCTCTGAGATGAGATAATTTTACTATTTAATTTGACTCTATAGGATAAATT